TTTATAAAGCTTAGTAAATATTTTAATATTTTATAAACTATTAATAAGGTTTAACGATTATTTTATAAGCTTTTGTCTGCTATTTCTTAGGATGGAATAATACATGATTTTTTTTTGATATTATGAAGTAAAGCGACAAAGCTTTATAAAGGAGGAAACACATACAATTTTCTTATATTAATATTGTTAAATATCAAATAATTAAGGTTTCTAAGTTATATAAAGTTGTAGGTAGTGTTGAGGATATTTAATTAGTTTAGAAATTCAACATTGTTACTTAAAATATGGTAAGGGCTTTTTCTTCTCTTTAAACAATTTCAGTTTGATTCATACTTTTTTCTGTTTCAGAAGAAATAATGTAGGATTATTTTTCTTCTTTTTAATTTCTGAACCAGTATGTTATACTTCATGTTATACTCCTACCATATTAATCAATAAGCTTTTCTTGTTTTATTTATTTACTTCATGTTTTTGTAGTATGACGAATAATCACATATTTAATCTTATAAAATCATCATTAAATTTTAATAGTAATTTATAAAAAGTATAAAATGAGAATTTTATAAATAGGTTATAAAATTGATAAAGTAGTATATACAAAATATAAATTATTTTCAATGTTTATAAATCAATTTTAAGATTCTTAAATAACAAATAAATGATAATAAAGATTTTAAAATATTTAACCGCATTTAGTAATAAAACCCCTTAACTAAAGATGGATCGTAACAAAAACCCTCAACTAAAGATTTAGTGAAATAAACCCTCAACTTTAGTTCTGTTAACATATGTCACCCTCCGTTTAAAATTCTGTGACGGAGGGTTACAAACATTAACGGAACTAAAGTTGAGGGTTTATTTCACTAAATCTTTAGTTGAGGATTTTTTTTTACGATTCATCTTTAGTTGAGGAGTTTTATTACTAAAACCCCTTTTATTTTTTGCTAAACTGTAAATATCATATATTGAAAACTAGATTTTACAAGGTAAGATCTTAATGTTTGAGCCATCTTGGCAAAAAAGAAGGAAAAAACAAGATGGACCATGAGGTTTACAAAACATTAACTCCCTATCTGATCCACAGAGACATAAGGGAACAGAACTTTTTCCGCAATCTTCTTGCAGAAATAATATTCTTCATCTCTTTATCAATCTCTCTAAACACCAAAGCTGCTGGTATTGAGGTCTGGTTATGGACTATGTTGTTCCGCTGTTTCCAGAGATGATAAATCACAGTCTGAGTTGCTAATTTCCTGAGGAGAATGCATCAACATTTATTTAATCAACTGCTACTTAAAAATTTAGTTCAGTTCAATAAATTACATCAACATTTTGGTTTATTTTGCGGTTAAGTTTGGATTTTCAATCATAACCAAACCGAGAACTGTTTGGGTAGAAGAAGAACCGAACTAAACATGTCGTTTGTAGAGTGTAGACACTAGTTTGGTCTGATTGGGCTCGGGTTCGATATGTTCAATTCGGTTGAAAAATCACGAAAGAAAAACGTTTTTCTTTTTTGACCAATACAAAAAAATCTGAAAAATGTAGATGGCGCAGATGATGACACGTGTCCATCTTGCAATGTGAACTGATCCAAACCTATTTATATTCATTCTTTGTTTGTTTGTTTTGTATTTGACCGCTCCCTCTCTCGATCTCTCTGGTTCCTGAATCTTCTGTTCTCTCTTCTCTTCCTCGGCGATCCCTACCAGGCTCCGTCTTACACCTCCTCGAAACCCTAAGTGAGCTTGGATTGTGTTTTTTGGGCATTTCTTTTGTTATACGTTTCCCTAAATTGATACTTTCAAATTCAAGGAGGGCCAATTCTGTTTTTCGCTGGATCAGTTGTTTGATAGACTGATAAGATGGTTACAATACAAAGATAAAAACGTCAGCAAATTCCGTGAGGAGTTCGTTAACAACGGAGGCTCTGGTGAGAGTGTTCTCTCTGAGCTTCAAGGAGTAAGTTTTTCAATTATTTTTGTCATAATTTGCTGCAGAAAGATAGAAATTTGATGACCTTTTAGTGGAATCGAGGTTTTGTGTAGCATAGGGTTCATCGCTATCAATTGGCTTAATTCGACGGATGCTTGCTACTGTGTCTTTTTTTTCCAAAGTAGATTTGGGAGACGAAGATGATGCAAGTTGGAGTCTTGTCTGGACCAATCGACAGGCCATTGGTTCAGAGACCAACACCTGGAGGAGTTCCACTGACCTATGATCTCAGTGTTCCTTATGACGGTACAGAGGAGTACGAGACTCCCACTGCTGAAATGCTCTTCCCTCCGGTGAGTATACTCTCACTACCCTTGGATCTATGATTGAGAAATGAAACACACAGATTTGACATCCTTTACATTTTGAGATGTTGTTGTTGTTGTAAAGCCTTAAAGCATGACCTTAGAATGAGTTGCTTAAATTTTTTGTTTCTAAAAAAAAAATTAATAATGAACAAATCGCAGGCTTCACGTATCAGTGAGGTCCGCGAACAGTGCAAGCAACAGCCAAAATAGGTTGCTTAACTATTTTTTGGGATCAATATTTAAAAAATCTCCAAGCAACCCTCCTAAGCTAGCCCAATAAACATGCTCTTACTGACTTGAGCTTGGTTTTTATTTTTGAGCAGACACCATTGCAGACTCCCCTTCCGCTTCCTGGTACTGTTGATAACTCTATGTATAACACACTTAGAATAAACGGGCGGACCCATTAACCATTTCTTAGACCATCTCTAATGACAGACAATTTTTTCTCTTTATAATTTACACTAAAATAGAATAACTTTAGTATAATGTAAATTTTGTTCCAATAGTTTACTCTATAATAAAGTTACTCTATTATAGAGTGAAATATAGAATAATACCATTAATTCACTCCAAATACAGAGTGGAAAAGTGACATTTCTCTATATTTCACTACATAATAGAGTAACTCTATTACAGAGTGAACCATTGGAGCAAAATTTACACTATAATAGAGTTATCTTATTTTAATGTAAACTATAGAAGAAAAAACAATGTATCATTGGAGATGCCCTTATAATATAAAAAATATATGGGTTTATACGGGTCCGCCCGTTTAAACATGTCTCGTTAATGAGCATACGCGTTAAATAAATAAGTACCCGTTTAAATCCGTTTATGATTTATATATATATATATATATATATTTAAAATAAATTTTTAAAAATATTAAAAACAATTTTTTTTAATTTGTGTTTTTGAAACAAAATAGTTATATTATATATAGTTTGTATTTTTTTAGAAAAATATTTAGGTTATAATTGTGTATAAAACCTACTAGAATTTGTTGCTATTTTATGATATTATGAACTAATTGATATTTAACAAAAGTAAAATAGATTTTTATTTGGGAGAATTGCATAAATACACATTGTTAGGTACACTAATTCTTATTTACCTTAAGAAGAGAGACATTTTCAAAAATACATTTGTTATTAAAGGATAAAAGGCTCTTGTACCTTTGTTCTTTATATATATAAAATAAATATTTAAATAAATAAAAACACACAAAAAACAAAAAATATTTTTATTTTTATTTTTTCTACTTATACTATTTCGAAATTCAAACCCTAAATCCTAAACCCTAAATCCTAAACCCTAAAAATCAACCCTAAATGCTAAAATATCAATTCTAAACCCTAAACCCTAAATTCTAAACCCTACCCTAAACCCTAAATTATAAACTCTAAACCCTAAATTCTATACCATAAACCCTAAATTCTAAACCCTAAACCCTAAATTCTAAACCCTAAACTCTAAACCCTAAATTGTTAATCCTAAATCCTAAATTATCAGCCCTTAACCCTAAATTCTAAACTATATATTTTTACAAAATTAATTAAGGGTACTATGGTCTTTTGACTATCAAAATTTTAAGGGTAAAGATGATTAATGTAAAAGTGAAATAGTGTGTCATGAATGTGTTAGTTTTAGCAATTTCCATGTTATTTTTTGAAATTTTGCTTTAGTTTTATTTTCTATTTATTATAAAGTTATAAAATCTAATAAAAATTGTTAAAAATTATATTAAGATATGACAAAAGATTGTTAACAAAAAAAATATAATTCATAAAGAAAAACTTAAACGGCTAAACGGACATGGGCTAACATTAAACGGACTAACATTAAACGGGTCTAAATGGGATTGACATTAGACGGGCTAGGGTATCCCATATTAACATCCCTAATAAAATTATCTAGCCCCTAATGGTCTTTTGTGTTAGGCCCGTCAAAACAAGTGTGTTACAAGTGCTCGAATCAAATCCAAACCGATGGGACTGTCTCTGTTTATATGATAGTTGTAGATACTGGACTTGAAACGTTATCAACAAACTAAGAAATGAGCCGGTTGTACTGACGCAAACCAACATCAGAGGGTAACATTTTTGGGCCTTTTGTCCAAAACTGAAAGATGACCAAAGGCTAGAAGAGGTAACAGAAACAAACAGAGTAGAGAAAGTAAAACCAAAATAGAAGAAAAACAGGCAAGTTTTTCGGTTTCATATTCAAATCGGGTATGTCAACCCCCAATATATTCTTGTTTTGGTATGTTTTTATTTGATAATAGTTTTTTTATATGACACTAATTCAAGATTGACAAGTGGCACCAAAAAGTTTTTAAAAATGTGCCAAGGGTTCTCCAGTGAGATTCTTCTTCTCTTCTATATCATGCATTTTTTACATTTTTTTTAATTTTTAAATTCTTGATATTTCATCGTATCTCTGCTGCGTTGGAGGTGTTCTTATAGCTAAATGACCGTTTCAAAATAACAGAATTTTCCTATTTTTCCTTCACATGTTCCACCAACATAACCAAGCCCCTCCTTTTGCGCTATTCATCCACAAAGCTGAAAACCTCTCTCCCTTTTTATTCTTCTTTTCTCTCCACATCACTTTCATTCCTATCTTCCTCTCTCTCTCTCTTCTCTTTTTTGTGTGCTTATATTCTCATTGGCTCAATCTTGATTCTGAAACGGGATGGAGAACAGTGTGAACATGTTTACCAAGAGCGAGTCCCCGAGATCACCACCAACTAGGCTGCAAAGGCAAGCACCCACTGCTCTGAATCTTGACTGTGTTCCAGCAAATCCCGTTTTGCAACCATCTTGTGATGCGGTTGCAACCTCAGCGATCCCTCTGCTTTCACCTCTCTATGTCTCTCCAAACCAGCACTCTTCTTCTTCTTCTTCTTCTCTCCCTAGACAAGGGGAAGAAGATTTCATGTTTCCGGTTGGTGTTACTGAGAAGACCGGTTCTCAACCCTCAATAGACCACAAGGAAGGCTGGCAACATTCAGCTGAGGCCGACCATAGCAACCAAATGTCTCTCGTTAATATGTTCCAAACCAAATTCGCTCTTGTAAATCCTTCACAATGATCTTTTCTTTTTTAGTATTTAGGATGTTTTATATGCTGTAATAAGAGATAACTTGGATATATTATTATATAAACAAGATCTAGCTTTTGACAATGTTAATTTTCCAAAAGACAATAAATTTATGATACGTCCACAAAAATCTGTTTCTTCTTACAAACCATCAGAGTTAGACTTTTTTGTTGTTGATAAAACCAAGTTGAACGATCAGAGTAGACTCCCATAATAATAAAATGTGGAGGCAAATATTACTTTGTTGAGGAGAATGTGCTTATCGTTTATATGCATGATCCCACTTTCAGCATGCACTTCCATCTGCTCTTTGTGCGAGTCACCTAATTTACACACAACATCAAACAAGTCTAACCGTGATTAGAGTTAAGTGCACACAAACTCACACCCGCAACCTGAGTAAACACGATTCATTACCTTCAGGGTCGGTTCTGAGTCAAATTTAACAAAACATTCGTGTCAGGTCCTCAAAAATTTTGATGGGAATTATATGAGACAAAGACTCCTAATTTTTTTTTTAAACCCTCAACTTTAGATAAAAAGAAAAAAAAATTAGTTCAATTTTTTTATAAATCGTCTAGGGTCCCATAAATCTTATGACCTCCCTGTTACCTTGTCAAATTGAGCCAAAACCAGATGTTGTATGTTCATACCCTCACCAGTTTCTAAGACATCTAACTCGTCACCATCATCATCATCTTCATTCAAACAGTTCTTCATCATCTTCAATGAAATCGTTTTGCACAGCAACAAGAGTGGATATCTAAATAGAGGGATTTCAGCAGAACATATTCATATATTTGTAACGCCCAGGTTTACTTATGGTATATGTTTTAATTATTTTGCAAATTTCTTGCAACCATATCATCTATTTCTGTGGTCTATCGTGTTTTATATATATCCGGTTGTCCTCAACCAAACTTGGTATAATAATAAGGAAATGTGTCGTCATTGCTACCGTTGATTTTTTTCTTCAAATTTTTATTTTTGAAAAAAAACAAGAAAAATCCAAATATGAATCCAAATCCGTTGGATGAAAACAGCGAACTATCCATATTAAGTATATGGACCCGATCCAAGTCTATCAAAGATTGTAGAAGCCAAAACCCCCAAGTAATGAAAAAACAACCCTTAGTAAAAATTGAAGGAATTAAATTGGCTAAATATATCAAAGAATTTTTTTTTCTCGACCAATAGCATTTTTATTTGTTATCCATTTTGACTTTTGTGGTTGTAAAGGTGTTGGCCTTTTGATTCTTTGGTATGGAACCTCTGAATCTAAGATGTTATTGATGAACCTGGCCCATCATTCTTTACCCTCTTATCTCCATTGATTGATGATCGATCAACTTTATCTTTACTCCACGTATTCTCTTCACAACATTCACTTACAATCTGAGATCTTTAGCCGTTGAAGACCAATGGCTGGAGCAGAACAACATCAAAGATGGAGCCTTAAAGCCAAGACTGCGCTTGTAACCGGTGGAACAAAAGGCATTGGGTTCGCATATAATAACACCATTTAAGTTACATATATATTCATATATATTTACTTCACTATAAACTTTAATATAATCAATTTATTTCTAGGCATGCTGTGGTAGAGGAACTTGCAGGATTTGGAGCCATAATACATACTTGTGCCAGAGACGAAACTCAGCTTAACGAGTGTATAAGCCAATGGCAAAAGAAAGGGTTTCAAGTCACGGGTTCAGTCTGTGACGTCACTTCTAGAACAGACAGAGAGAAGCTTATGCAGACTGTTTCCTCGATGTTTGGCGGGAAGCTTGATATCCTTGTAAGTTTGCATCTTATCATTAACCACAAAATTAAACCATAATGATATATAGTAGGCTTATATAATATTCTTGGTTATTAGATAAACAATGTGGGAGCCATTCGGTCAAAGCCAACAGTGGAACATACAGCAGATGATTTCTCGTTTCATATTTCGACCAACTTAGAATCTGCTTTTCATCTGAGTCAGCTTTCACATCCTCTGCTTAAGGCTTCAGGATGTGGTAGCATCGTGCTCATGTCCTCTATTGCTGGAGTTGTTTCGCTTAGCGTCAGTTCTATCTACTGTGCAACAAAAGGTAGGTAACATACCAGTTATTGAATACAGAAACCCTTAATATATAGTCTCTGTTCAACAGGTTCATTTTTGAAATATTGAGGAAATTAATGTGTTATTTGTTAAGGATACTCAATATACACTCATTCAATGCCTGAATATTTCCTTCTAATACTTTAGGAATCTTTCCTATGTAGCTTAACCTAGTTCTCATCTCTTGTACGATATATAAACACTACAAGAAAACATGTGTTTAGCGACTGCAAGTTGCGACTAATAGTGTAGTCGCCGAATTTAGCGACTCAATTCCGACTAGTTGGCGACTACTCTGCGACTACAAAAAATAAATCGTTAATCGGTCGCTTATTAGCGACTAAATCGCGGAGTCGCCGAATAGTCGCCATTTAGCGACTACACTGCGACTATATAGAAGTCGGTATATATTAGTCGCATATCAGTCACAAAAATGTGACCGATATGCGACTACTCTGCGTCTACCTGACTGCAGTCGTAACTCGGTCGCTTCTTAGGGACCCCATAATTCAGTCGCCAAATAGTCGCCAAACTAACGACTAATTTGCGACCACTATTCCTATCCAGTCGCTAATTAGTCGCTAAAAACCGGTATAAAACGTGTTATACATTTTTTTTAAAGTGCACCTAATTTTTTTAGGGACCACTTCATTCGGTTTCCGATTAGTCATCAAGTTAACGACTATTTTGCGACCACTCTTTTCATGCAGTCGCGAATCAGTCGCTAAAAACCGTTATAAAACGTGTTATACATTTTTTAAGTGCACCTAATTTTTTTCCCGGCAGTCGGTTTGTAGTCGCCAAGTAGTCGGCCATTTTTTCTATATATATGCTTCAAGCCTTCTTCTTCTCTTCACTCGAACAAAAACTATAGAAAAATTATAAATTTTTTTTTTTTAAAAAATGAAATTTTAAAATTTACAAAAGTTTTATGTTGTATAATGTCTAAAAATTATAACAATTCAAATTTTCGAGAGTGGATGTACAAGAGGATCGATGAAGAGACGGGAAATTTCTCAGAAGAGTTCATAGCAGGGGTGGAACAATTTATGACATTTGCAAATAGTCAGCTTTTAACACAAAGCAATGGCGGTAAGTTTTTCTGTCCCTGTACTGTTTGCCGGAACGATAAATTTCTCCCGGGATCAAAAATTTGGAAACATATATATAGTAGAGGATTTGTTCCAGACTATTATGTTTGGTATAGACATGGAGAAGAAATCGATATGGCTTTAGGAACGAGTTATGTTGACCCGACGCATTTAGGTGGTAGTGAAGAAGTTGGTAATGAAGATAATTATGTGGATATGGTGAATGATGCATTTCGTGATAGTGTCAGTTTTGATAACTATCAACAGGATGATAGTTATCAAAATGTAGTTGACCCACAACGCAACCATTCGAAGAAGTTCTACGATTTGTTAGAAGGAGCACAAACTCGTTTGTATGATGGTTGTCGTGAAGGGCAGTCGCAGTTATCCCTAGCTGCTCGGGTCTTGCAAAATAAGGCAGATTATAATCTGAGTGAAAAGTGTGTGGATTCGGTATGTCAAATGTTGACAGACTATTTACCAGAAGGAAACACGGCAACCGAATCACATTACGAGACCGAGAAGTTGATGCGTAATTTAGGACTCCCATATTATACAATTGATGTTTGCGTTAACAATTGTATGATCTTCTGGAGAGAAGATGAAAGATGGGAAAATTGCCAATTTTGTGGTGCAGACAGATGGAAGCCAAGGGACAAAAAACGTCGAACCAAAGTACCATATAGTCGTATGTGGTATCTACCTATAGCTGATAGACTGAAGAGAATGTATCAGAGCAAGAAGACAGCAGCGGCAATGAGATGGCATGCTGAGCACCAAGCTCACCTGGCATCCGTCTCAAACCGGTTTGGTTCATAAACACTTTCAGGCAATATGCCAACTGCGTATGAAGGACATGGTCAGCAAGTGCAGGAGAACTCGAAGTCGACCAATTTGGATTAATAGTAGACTGTGGTTACGAATGACAGCATATTGGGACACTGAGGAAGCCATAGCTAAGAGTAAGAAGGCTTCATCAGCTAGGATGTCTGAACGTGGAGGATTAGGTCCTCATACACACAATTCTGGGCAGAAATCTTTCCAGCAGATTGAACAAGAAATGGTAAGTTATGTCTATATGTAAAAGTTAGATTTTATTTTGTCTCATTAACCTTTCCTTATTATACCATTTCAGGTTGAGGAATTGGGTAGACCTGTGACTCTTGGTGAAGTTTTCATCAAGACTCATACAAAAAAAGATGGCAGCTTTGTCGATAGGAAAGCTCAGAAAGTTGCAGATGCTTATCAGAAAAACAAGCAGGCTAAGTTGACTGAGCTTGAGGCTGAAGCCTCAAAGACTTCAGATGGTACTTCTCAACCTCTACAACTCTCCATAGATGAGGATAATGAGCTCTTTCTTAAGGTAAGTTGTTTGTTTTTTTCTCTGGTTATTTGTCTTAAATAATTATAATGTTTTCTATTATGTTCTTATTATGTTTTTTTAATTAATGATTAACTCTGAAATTTTAATTGTTTTTGTAGTCTACTTTCACAAGTGAAAGAGGCCAACCCTATGGATTAGGCAGCCTAGAGCGTACTCTTGTGAATGGAAAGCGAAAGTATGTTGAATGCTCATCTTCAGCGTTATTTAACCTCCAAGAACAGCTGGCCGAAGCTCACCGTAAGATTGAGAAGCAGGCAGCTTACAATGCCAAGCTAAAAAAACAGGTGGAGAAGCAGGCAGCTTACAATGCCAAGCAAAAAAAGCAACTCAAAGAATTTTCTATAATGGAAAAGTTTATGGCTGCAACTAGTTCTAGTTATCTGATATTTAAAGCTTCTAATCAAGATGA